TTTATTCCCTTTTACTGTTCTGATGTTGTCATTTATGGATTAACGTCTCTGGTTCCCTGTTGTAAATCTTTTAATTTTGATTAATCCTTGAGAGTACATTACCTAAGTAGGTATATGGCTGATGCAGTCTTGCATCCTAGATCCAGGCTGTCATCTGATGTTGGTTGTTCTCAAACTGAAGGACTCCCTGTAATAATTCTTGTAAGTTTGGTTTGGTTTTTACATATTCCCTTAATTTCTGTTTATCTGGAAATGTCCTAATTTCACCATCATATTTGAATGAGAGTTTTGCAGGATATATTATTCTTGGCTGGCAATTTTTTTCTTTCAAGGTTTTATATATGTCATTCCATTGTCTTCTTGCCTGCATGGTTTCTGTTGAGTAATCAGAGCTTAGTCTTATTTTTTCCCCTCTGTGTGTGACTTTTCATTTTTCTCGAGCTGCTCTCAGGATTCTTTGTCTTTGGTTTTAGCGATTGTGATTTATGATATACCTTAGTGATTTTCTTTTGGGGTCTGTCCTATATGGGCTTTGTTGAGCTTCTTGGATGGTCAGCTTTTCATTTCTCATGATATTAGGGCAGTTTTCTGTCAGCAGTTCTTCAATGATCCTCTCTGTGTTTTCTGTTTTCTCCCCCTGTTCTGGAACTCCAATCACTAATAAATTTCTACTTTTGATTGCATCCACATCGTTCTCAAGGTTTCTTCATTTCTCTTCATTCTTTTCTCTGATTTTTCCTCAAAGTGATATCCAAGTATTTGTCTTCAGTTTCACTGATCCTCTCTTCCATTGTTTCATACCTGCTCTTCAGCCCTTCTATGACACTGTCCATTTCTGGAATCGTGTTGTTTATCTGTTTTTGAATGATTTCTAGTTGTGAATTTTTGACATTTTGTTCCTGTGTTATTTTTCTGAATTCGTCCATTGTTTTGTCTTTCTTTTCCAAGATTTTTCTGCCTTTTTCCATGATTTTGTCTATTTTTTCCTCACTTTTGTCTACTTTTTCCTTCAACTCTTATATACCTCTGAATATTAGAGATTTGAACTCCTTGTCTGGTAGTTTCAGAGCCTTTTCTTCTACTTGAAGGTCATCTGGTGTTTTATTTTGGACACCTACTGGAACCATCCTGTCCTGTTTTTTAATATGGTTTGATATTGTCTCCTGTTTTTTGGGAACATTCAGTAGTTATTTTCTTCGTTTATTGATTGTAGATTTGTTTCACCCTGCTTTTTTGTTTTATTTGGTTATGTCTGAGCAGGTTTGCTAAGCGTTCTTTGCTGTTTGCTCAGACGTGGGCACGAGACTACTCACTACCTTGTCTAACAGGCAGGTCCAATCACTCAGCTGTGGTGCAGTAGGGCACGTCCAGTGGAAGGGGGTGGGCTTTGATGGGTTGTTTGTGGTACATACTGGGGCCACCAGGGCGGGGCCAGGGGTCACTTCAGGGCAGGTTCCAGTAGATCATACCTGTGCTGCTCAAGGATGTGATGTTCAGTGCATGGTACAGATGGGAGGAGGTTGTGATGTGTGGAGCTAAGTGGATGTGGGAAAGAAGAGAAAGAGGTAAGAGAAACAGGAGCTAAAAAAAATGCTGGGGGAGCCTGCCGTTGGTGTGGCACATAGCCTGGGAAGTTGTGTTCCACTGGGAAGTTGTGTTCCAGTGGCTTTCTAGCCAAGCATTGAGGCACAGCCCGTCAAGAAGAGACAGGTATGACATGCAGCTAGATGGGCAGGAGAAAGTAAAGAACAAAGCAAGAGAATTAAGAAAGTACATAAAAATGAAAGGAGACAGAAAGTTATAAATGGCTAGGTGGTTGGGAGAAAGGAATTGAAGGAATGTAGAGATAAACAAGAAACTGAGAAAAAAAAAAAGATGCCAGGTGGTTGGGAGGAAGGAAAGGAACAGAAGTAGAGAGAGACAAGAAGCCTAGGGAAAAAAAGAAGAAAGTAAAAAAAAAAAAATGCCCCAAGGGAGCCCAGCAGAAGTGGGTCCCCAGCTGAGTGGCGCTGCACAGTCCATCAAGAAGGAAGGGAGATGCCACATGGCACCAGTTGTTCAAGAGAAGGGTAAGGAAGGGAGGTAGAGAGAGATAAGAAACTGAGTGAAAAAGATGAAAGACAGAAGAGAAAAATGCCCCAAGGGAGACCACCGGAAGTGGGTCCCCAGCTGAGTGGCGCAGCACAGCCCGTCAAGAAGGAACAGAGATGGCACACAGCATGAGATGTTCAGGAGAAGGGTAAGGAAGGAAGGTAGAGAGAGACAAGAAACTAAGAGAAGAAGAAGAAAGAAAACAAAGGGAAAAAAATGCCCTAAGGGAGCCCACCAGAAGTGGGTCTCTAGCCGAGTGGCACTGCAGAGCCCGTCAAGAAGAAGTGGAGATGGCACACGCCACCTGGTGTTTGGGAGAAGGGTAAGGAACGAAGGTAGAGGGAGACAAAAAATCGAGAAAAGAAAAGAAGAGAGAAAGAGGGAAATAAAAGATATCCCAGGGGGCCCACTGGTGTGGTGGTGTGGACCAGGGAAGTAGCTCCCTGCAGTGTAATAGTGCACAGTCCGTCTAGAAGGAGCAGAGATGGCATACAGCACCAGGTGTTCAGGAGAAAAGAGGGGAAGTATGGTAGAGAGAGACAAGAAATTAAAAAAAAAAAAAAAAATTTCCAAGGGAGCCCACTGGCTTGATGGCATGGACCGGGAAGTGGCTCCCAAGCTGCTAGGCACTGTACAGCTCATCTAGAAGGGGCAGAGATGGCACATAGTACCAGATATTCAGGAGACAGGAAAAGAAGGAAAGTAGAGAGAGATGAGAAACTGAGAAATGAAGAAAAACAAAAACGAAAAATGAAAAAAAGAAATGCACCCTCAGACTCCACCAGTGTGGCGGCCCGGACTGGGGAAATGGTTCCCAAGCTGAGCAGCAGTTCACAGCCTGTCAAGAAGAAGTGGAGATGGCACATGGAGCCAGGTATTCAACAGAAAGGAAGGAAAGAAGGTGAGGGAGAGAGAAGAAACTAAAAGAAGCCAATAAAAGCAACAACAGCAACAAAAAAATGACACTGAAGGAGATGGCTGGTGTAGGCGGGGGGAATCCAAACATCATGGAGCTGGTGCCTCCCTGGCCGAGCTACCTCGGCATGCTGGGAAGCAGCAGAGACTGAGCAGGGGGAGAAAGAGTGGGGGATGGGAAAACGTATATCGCTGGTTACCAGGTGCTCTGTCCCCTGCTGGGAGCTCTGTAAAGCTGCCTTCCTGTATACCCTGTCCACAGATCTCAGTAGCTTAGGAATCCAACATGGCAAATCCACACTGCGTTAGCTGATGGGGACCTCCACTCCGTATCTCTCCTTGCTCTCTGTCCTCTGTCAGTTTCTTATTCCATTTGGTGCTTTGTTGAGTTCTTTATCTCTTCATTCGACGCTTAGGGTTCCAAGATTGACGTTTGTCTCTGTTTTGCCTAGTTTTTTGGGTCAGAAATTCAAAATCAGCTCCACTGGGTCAAGTCAAGGTGTCAGCAGGGCCAGTTCCTTCTGCAGGTTCTCAGAGGAGAATCCATTTCCGCGTCTTTTTCAGCTTCTAGTGCTTGTCTGTATTCCTTGGCTTGTGGCTCCTTCTTCCATCTTCAAAGTCTCTGCTTCCATCATCACATCGCCTTCTCCTCTGACCCTGACCCCTCCTGCATTTCTGTTATAAGGACCATTGTGATTACACATGAGTCCCTGGATGGTGCAAATGGTGAAGGTGCTTGGCTGCTAACTGAAAGGTTGGAGGTTTGAGTTTACCCAGAGGCACTTCAGAGGGAAGGCTTGGCGATCTTCTAAAAACTCAGTGATTGAAAACCCTGTGGAGCACTGTTCTCTGACATACATGGGGTCACCATGAGTCAGAATCTACTCAGTGTCAACTGGTCCTGGAGATTACATCAGACCCACAGAGATAATGTTTCCATCTCAAGATCCTTAATCACATCTGTGAAGTCCCTGTTGCCATACAAGGTAACATTCGCAGGTTCTGGGGATTGGGGACCATTATTCAGCCCACCATATATAGTAATCTACGCATGAGCTTCATCATTCAGTTTCCTTTGTGAAAAAAATTACTTTTCCCTATCTCTTGGTGAGCCCACCTTTCATCCCCCAGATTTGGGTAAGCTGCCAGATTTTCTCCACAGTAGTGATCGACTTCTGGATCCTGATTCACTGGGATTTTTGTCTGGATTTGATGAAGGGTGTAGGTGTATGTACGAAAGGTTTTTATTATTCACAGTGGGGAGAAGTGAAGTTTATATTGCTGGCCTCCCTGATTCTATATATTGATATTATGATTAATAGTTTTTGACACAAAACTATTTTGAAATATGAATCTTTCATGATGTATTTTGACAGCAGCAATGTCATTCTTTTAGCTGCTCTAACATGAGTAGGTTACAGGGACTACTGGCTTAATATTCCATACCCAGGTAATCAAGCAAGGATGTCATGCCCAGAAATATCACTAAATGTCAACCACAAAATCTCTTTAAAATAAACTTGCTCAGAGGATTTGAATCCTGTTGCAGTTTTGAAATGTACATTTTTTTAAAGACAGGGAGCCCAAAGTTATTTTTTTCTTTTTCAGAGATGCCAGATGGATGTTGAATTAAGTCCAGTTTTTAGTTTCTTCAGATAATTTGTTAAGTGTGTGGTGGTGATTTGGATTCTGATCAGTATGTCGCGTGTACTCTTCCTCCTCTAGTTCCCCACAGCTACCCACCCCTTGGCATCAGCGTGGTTGCCTTGGTACCTGTTCCTGAAGGATGTCCGCAGTGAATATGGTTGTTTAAATAGCTCGACTTGTCATCTAAAAGTAGAAGTCATTAACAAGATGCTGTTTGGCTAGTGGTGTCTTGAACGCTGTTTTAACATTTTTCCTATTTTATCACCTTACTCCTAGTGTTTACTCATTTTACCACTGGAAATTTCAAGGCCTGGTTCATACTATGGATCTGGGGAAAATGCTAAAAGTTTTCCTTACAAGGAAAAAAAAAGTAGTTTGAGTTGGACACTTTGTATATTTGTGTTGTTGTTGTTAGGTGCTGTCAAGTTGTTTTCAACTCATAGCGACCCCATGTGGCAGAGTGGAACTGCCCCATAGGGCTTTCTTGGCTGTAATCTTTACCGGAGCAGATTGCCAGGTCTTTATCCCTCGAAGCCGCTGGATTAATTCGAACTGCCAGCCTTTTAGTTAGCAGCCAAGTGCTAAATGGCTGCGCCATGTATAGTTTTAGAGATGTGAAATTCGGAATTCCAACTCCATTATTACTTCACATGATCCATAGTACTGAATTGCTCAATTTATGTGTTTGCATTTGCAGTTCAGGATTGAACAGCCTTCTCCTGTTTCTAAAGAAACTGAATCCTAAAATTCCTGCTGGCTTCTTTTTGAACTTTGTTGTTAGTTGCCATTGAGTTGGCTGTCACTCAAGACAACTCTGTGTATAATAGAACGAAATTTTGCCCAGTCCTGCGCTGTCTTCACAATTATTGGTATACTTGAGTCAATTGTTACGGCCACTTTGTATTTTACATGTCTTCCAACCTAGGATATCATCAGGAAAGACCAATTGCTAGAAAAGGACATTATGTTTGGTAGAGGGTCAGCGAAAATAAGGGAAACCCTCAGTGAGATGGATTGACACAATAGCCACAACAATGGACTCAAACTTACCAATGATCATGAAGATGGCGTAGGACCTGGCATTGTTTCATTCTGTTATACATTAGGCTGCCATGAATTGCTGCTTCCTCGGCGGCAGCTAACAACAACAATCCATCCTAGGAGGTTCACCTTCCAGCACTATAGCGAACAATATTCTGTTGTGATCCATATGATTGTCACTGGCTGATTTTCAGAAGCAGATCTCTAGGCCTTTCTTCCTAGTCTGTCTGAGTCTGAAAGCTCTGCTGAAACCGAGCACCATGGGTGACCCTGCTGGTATTTGAAATACCGGTGGCATAGCTTCCAGCATCATAGCAACATGCAAACCACCACAGTACCACAGACTAATAGACGGGTTTGAAACTTTAATTGGCCTTTAATGTGATTCTTAATTGGACAGAGCACATATTTTCTTGGAAATGGTAGGGCATTTGTTTTTCAAATTTAATGTAAAAGTTGAATACAGTGCTTTGGGAGGATTTGTATCGATTCACGTTATCTACTACATGTAATTATAACTGAAGACGCACCCAAGCAGAACATTGTCCCTCTTCCCACCCAGGTGAGCTGACTTAAAGTCTATAGCTGTCACTGTAGGTAAGAAGGTAGCATTGGGTTCCTTTGCTAGTGGGCATCTCTGCAAAAACTACCAACTGGCAGCTTGTGTTGTGAGAGATGCACATTAATTAGTTACTTGAAAATCTTCTGGAGTTCAGAGTGTTGGTTTTGATAAAGAGAAAAAGGTTTAGTAGTATGCCATCTTGTTTGTAAAACAGTCAAATCATACGCAACTCATTATAGAGTAATGGATCCTGTTTTGTTGTTAAGAACTTGATCTTTCTTGAACCTAGTAGCTCACTTTATCTAGTGAGCACAGAGAACTGACAGTGAAGTTTATTTTTAGGAACATTTAAGTTTGTAGATGGTAGGTAGGGAGGTGAGCAAAGGGAAGGGAGACCATTTATTTTGCCAAATAATTCAGTTTGGGAAAAATATTATATTGATGTTTGTCTTAGTTGTCTACTGCTGCTATAACAGAAATACTGTAAGTGGATAGCCTTAACAAACAAATTTATTCTCTCACAGTTTAGGACACTAGAAGTCTGAATTCAGGGAGCCAGCTCTGGGGGAAGGTCCTTGTCTCCTTCCAACATCTGTGGGCCAGGCATTCCTTGGAGATCTCCATGTGTCTTGGGATCAATCTTTACCTGGGTCTAGGAGGTTCTTGACGCAGAGACCCTGGTTCCAAAGGATGCGCTCCGCTCCCAGTTCTTTCTTGGTGGTGGTGAGGTCCCTTTCTTCTCTGCTTGCTTCTCTCTCCTTTTATCGCTTTCAGGATAAAAATGTGACTCAGCAAGGGTGTGACTTGAGTCACGCTGTCTTCTAAGGCTGTGACTCAAGATACACCCCACACTGATCCTGCCTCATTAACATATAGAGGTTAGGATTTAAAACACATCACAAAATGGAGGATGATTACATCAAATCACGAAATGGTGGACAACCACACAATACTGGTAATCATGGCCTAGCCAAGTTGATACATATTTTGGGAGGACACAGTTCAATCCATGACAATATTATAAAAATAATGTGCTTTTTTTCCCCAAAATTAACTCATTAAAAAAGCTCAAAAAATTTGCTCAGAGTCTCACCACCTTGAAATTAATGTTATGGTGACCATTGTTCAAGATATTTCTCTGACACAGACAGAAGGGTGAGTCAAAAGGAACAATGCTGATAAGAAAAAAACAAAACTGTACAGATAAATTTACAGTAGTAAATTTTATTTAGATTTCAGAGGGAAATAACATGAAGAAATCAGTGAGGTTTTACTACGTCTGCCCAAGAAATATTAAAGTATTCCTAAAGATTACTCAAAAGTGAAAATAAAAGTTATGGACAACATTGAGAGGAGATAGATACACACACATATACATATGAAACCATATTTTAAAAATGCACTTCTTTTTTTTTTTTTTGGAGCAGGTTTAGGTTCACAGAAAAATTGGCACAAAAAGTGCATAGAGTACCCAAATTCCCCTCTTCTCTCTGCACAAATTCTCCTATTATTAACATGTTGCATTAGTGTGATACATTTGTTACAATTGGTGAACCTATTTTGATACATTATTAACTGAAGTCCATAGTTACATTAGGGTTCATTCGTTGTGTTGTATAGTTCTCTGGATAAAACTGCATCTTAAACTACATGTTTTGAAATAGATTGATAGCTATTTGATTTATTGCTTTTAGTTGGCCAAATTTAATAGTCAAGTAGCCCCCCCCCCCCAGATAAGATTCAATTTGTTATATATCTTCAGTTTTTACATTTTTGAGAATGTTTGTTCCTTTCTTGTTTGATAGATAATTTGTCTAGGTATAAAAATCTTGAAAAGAAATCACCTTTTCTTTTTTAGAACTTTGTAGACATTGTCTGCTGGCACTAATGTTGTTAAAAGACATCAAAGGACAACTTGATTTTTCTGCGTACTAATTTGCTTTTTCTTTCAGGGCGCCCATAGGATTATTTGTTTTTTTCTCTCTCTCCCCCACTGTGGAGCCCTGGTGGCATAGTGGTTAAGCGTTTGACAGCTAACCAAAAGGTCAGCAGTTCGAATCCACCAGATGCTCCTTGGAAGCCCTATGGGGCAGTTCTACTCTGTCCTACAGGGTCACTATGAGTTGGAATCAACTCAACAGCAACGGGTTTGGTTTGATTTGGGTCCCCCATTATAGTTATTAAAGCATAACATACATACAGAAAAGTGTATACATCATAAACTTATAACTCAGCAAATTATCAAAATACAAATCCTCAGGTAACAACTATGCAAGTCAAAAAATAGAATACCACCAGAATCTCTGAAGTTCTTCTCAAGCCTCGTTCCAATCATTATGCCTTCCTTTCTGCCCAAAAGTTACCGCTAATAATATTATTTAGCTTTGCTCTTTTTGAGTATTATATAAATAGAACCATTCCTTATGTATTCTGACTTCTTTCACTTGACATATATCCACATTGTTGCATATAGCTATATTTCCTTCATCTTCGTTGCCACCGTGATATGAATTATCTGTGTGCTGGCCCCAACTCTCATTTGGGCTACATATTTGCTTAAGCAACATCCCTCTCACTTTACAGACTTTCCAACTTCGGTGCCAGCAGTAAAATTAGAGATTCTCCTTGTGGTAATGTGTGACCACTGCATCCTTTTCCTCATTCCTGTCACTTCCCTTCTGTCAGACTAAAAGTTCACCCCTTCAACTCCTCTTCTACTGTATGCTGTGGAAGTGGGTTTTTCTGGGGTATTCACTAACCCCCCTTTTCTTCTAGCTGCCCTTAGCACTTCAACCAACAACTATTTGATGGAGCTCTTAGAACCGTTACAAAATTCTTTATTGTATTTGAATTCTGAAGAGCTATATGTCAACTGAAGGAGTTCTGGTGGTGCAACAGTTAAGTGCTCAGCTGCTAACCGAAAGGTTGGTGGTTCGAGTTCACCCAGCAGCTCTGCAGGATAAAGACCTGGCTCTCTGCTGCTGTAAAGATTATAGCCTAGAAAACCCTATGGGCAGTTCTGCTCTGTCACATGGGGTTGCTATTGAAATCAACTCAGCAGCACCCAGCAGTACCTAAGTACAACAACATATGCCAACTACCAATGTTCTCTCTCATTTTGGTCTCAATTTCTCTGTATTCAGCTAATGTTTGTCATAGTTTATGGTGCAGGGTGGTGACTTTTTACTTGTTTCATTTAAGAAATTATTTTATTTAATATATTTTATTCTCTCCTGGTAGATTTTAAGAGTCCTCTAATTTTATTCTATTTAACTGGATATGTTATAAGTTATCTTAGGAAGAAGTATTTTTAAAATCTAAAGCTGTTAGTGCAAAGATTTACTAATATAGAAAAGTACTGGCTCTCAGTCTGTCCCCACTTTAGTCACCCCAGTATTGCACCCTCTACCCTTCTGAGTTCACCTTTTCTTGCAGGCCTGTCTCTCTCTACTGTCCTGCTTTAGCCCTGACACCTGCCAACCTAGCTGAAGCTTTCCATTCTTCTTGGAAGCCAGTTAACTCAGAAGAGTGCTTTAACCAGAGGGGGTAAATTATAGTATGAGGCTAACTTTGTGTTCCTTTATAGGTTTTTAATATCAGGGAATGGAGAATTATTGTATGCTGCCTTGGAGTATGAGCTTAATATTATCATTCATCATCAAAAAGCATCTGAAAACTGCCATCAGACCTCCTGCTCTTATGCTTCATTGAACTGTAGTGAGGAGCTTTTTGGTTCCAGTGTGTAATTTGGTACCAACATGGCAGCCCCCAAAGATACAGTTG